CCGGGACCAATGGCGTCACCGTGTCCCTCAGTACTTCCGCGTCGCAGAATTTGACCCTGAACGCCGGCCGCCGCGGCATCGTCACATCGAGCCACATTACCTATGTATCGGCAATGCGAAGTATCCTTGGCGGCGCGCCCAAGGGGGTAGGGGGTAGGGGAAGGGGGGGGGGCTTCTTAGCAGGCTGCTTCTTAGAAGGCGCCGGTCCTACATCCATAGAGCAGGCCCGCGCCCTCTGGGAAACACAGGTGTTTTCAAGAAGACTTCCCCCCTCCCCCTATCTCCCTCTGCGCGTGGCCAAGATCCTTCGACCCCATCTACTCAGGCCCCATGTAGGAGGCCTAGGGAAGACCTGTCTGGCAAGCGAGGGGAGGAGGAGAAGGAGGAGGAGGAAGAAGAGGAGGAGGAGGAGGAGGAAGAGGAGGAGGATAGGGAGGAAAAAAAGGAGGAGGAGCAGATGGAGGAGGAGGAGGAGGAGGAGGAGGAGGAGGAGGAGGAGGAGAACGAGGAGGAGGAGGATAGGGAGGAAAAGGAGGAGGAGGAGCAGATGGATGAGGAAGGAGGAGGAGGAGGAGGAGGAGGAGGAGGAGGAGGAGGAGGAGGAGGAGGAGGAGGAGGAGGGAGGAGGAGGAGGAGGAGGAGGAGGAAGAGGAGGAGGAGGAGGGAGGGAGGAGGAGGAGGATCAGGAGGAGGAAGGGAGGGGAGGAGGGAGGACAGACCCTGCCACGTGACCTCCTGCCACGGGTCCGCCGTCGCCGGCGGAGGCGCCCCGCCTCCAGCGGGCGACGCGCCGCGCGGGCGCCGGCCGCGGCCCGCGGCCAGGCCCCGCTGGGCGCCCAGCGGCGCGGCGCGGGCGGCGCCCAGCGGCGCCCAGCGGCGCGGCGGCGGCAACAGGGACGGTGGTGGCCCAAAGGGGGGAGCACTCCTCAGAGGGTGCCGCTCAAAGGTCTTTAGTTTTGGTCCCGCCCCTTTCACGGCGGTGAATTGGACTGGTCCCAAAACCTCCTCGTCGTCGTCCTCCTCCTCCTTTTCCTCCTCCTCCTCCTCCTCCTCGTCCTCCTCGTCCTCCTCGTCCTCCTCGTCCTCCTCGTCCTCCTCGTCCTCCTCCTCCTCCTCCTCCTCCTCCTCCTCCTCCTTCTCCTCTTCCTCATCCTCCTCCCCCTCTCTCTCCTCCTCCTCCTCCTCCTCCTCCTCCTCTTGTCGTTGCTCCTCCTCCTCCTCCGAGGAAGAGGAGGAAAATGAGGAAGAGGAGGAGGAGACGCGACGAGACGAACCCATGGAATCCGCCACCGTCAGACCATTGTGACCACAGCTTTACACGGGACTCTGGGGATGGGTAACTTAGACCCAAAGGGAGATCACTCATGCAAACTGCTGACTGCAACTCACGCTCGTTAGTTGGGGCACAGGACTGTCGGCACCTCTGAGGCGCGCGGCCTCGAGCGAGGGCCGACTCAAAAGGCGCGGGAGACAGCCAACCAACAGCACTTACCCCTGCTGCTGACTCTCGCTGGTCGGATATCCTCTCCCCCCACGCCCGCGACTCCCCGTCCGCCCCCTCCCACGGCCAGGGCCTCGGTGAGGCAGGTCTACAATAGGAATGCTAGGCAGCTCGCTATGCACATCAGAAGGCATGCCCCTCTCTCCACGCATCGCACGTGCTGCAGCTGCTGGATCCATCAACCATCTCTGCACAAACATCGCAAGCCGCTCACTTTCCTGCCACATCGTTTGACGTTCACGATTGAAGAAATTTCGCGCTGCAATGGGTCCCGCGGGGCGGTCCCGTGGAGTCTCTCCCCTCCCTCGATCACGATCGCTCTCTGGAGAAAGTTCTGACCCTGCTGACCGATCGGATTGCTGGTATCGAGGTGCATGATAACCAAGCATCGCTGATTCGACTCGTTCTTCTTGATTACTTTGAGGCACGCATACATCACGAAACACCCCAACTCTGCCAACGGCAGTTCCGCGACCGCGATCGTCCAATACTTCCTGCCTCCGACCTGAGCTCCTTCTCCTTCTCTTCTCCCTCTCCCTCTGCGTGCTCTCTCTTGGCGATATGCGTGGTACCTGCTGCGAAGATGTGCAAATGCGGGGGCCCGCGACCGCGATGATCGACGCTCTCCCCTTTCTTGGCCTTCTCGGAAATGCCCTTGCTCGCGGCGTCGTGCGCTTTGCCTGCTGCAGCCAACGCCGCTGGAAAGCGCTGAAAACTCATCTCGCGCGCGATGAATCCGAGGCCAGGGCCGGCCACCGCGCGGATGGTTGCGAGGAGGATCGGGGAGACGTAAGACCCGGGTACGGGGGACCCGGAAATCCCCGACGAGGTCGTCAAAAAATGACGAGGCCGAGCCTGCATTTTGACGAGGCCTCCCGCTGCAGACATCCCACGAACCTCCTCCTCGTCAAAATCCGAGGCGCGGTCGTCAAAAAACGATGGCGAACCCGAGTCCCGGCAAACCCGGGTCTTACGCTCCCCCGAGAGGAAGCGCGCCAAGATGAAAAGGGGCTTGCTGTAGCAGTCTTCCTTGCTGCCCTTGGCGCCCCCCCCTCCCCTGCGCTGCTTCGTCGGCGGTGCCTCGTCTCCCTCGGGGCGGCGAGCCTAGGAAGCGTTGAACCGCGACGGCGTCGCCAGCTCTGACATGTCCGGGGGCGTCGAGAGACGGTCAGCCTGCAAAGGGTGGGCGTTCTCGGTGAGGCTGTATGAAGGCCACGGAAGATAAAGGCATACGTGGCCGCGGATATCACTCAAGTCCGCGCCCTGATAGCCGCGCGCAGACCGCCGCGTGAGCGATGTCGGGGGGGGGGGGGGGGGGGGGGGGGCGCGCTGACAGCGAAGCAGGGCCGCTCGCAGAATAATGTCATCTGAATGCTGCCCCATGAAGATGCCGAGCTGCTGTCGCTGACCTCGGAAATTATTGCCTGCAATTGATGCGTCTGTTTGTTGGCGTTAGTACGGCTGGTAAACTGCGCGCATGATTGTGGGCCCTCATCAGTTTAAGTAGCGCCTTGCGGTCCTCGCAGATTGCACTGCGCTGGTTGCCATTGTCATCGAAGGTCTTGCGCCAATAATTGCTCTCCTCCTCCGCCCTCTCGCCCTCCTCCTCTGGTCCATGGCCCGCATTTCGTCCTGTTCGAATTGACATGTCGTTCATCGAGTCCTCTGGCCCATGATGACTAGTAGTAGCTGCAATCGCAAATCATTCGACAGTCAGAGGGGGGGGGGGGGGGCGCCCCTAGTTCCCGAGCTCTGAGTTCCGAGACATCGATCTTCAAGAAGTCCTGGGGGGCCTCGGGGCCCGCCAGAATCCTGACATTCGATAGGAGCTCATCGATCGCGAAGTGCGAGTTTCTCCGAGGCGCACTCCAGGTCCTGGAACATTTGCTTCGCCCGCGGAGCAGAAGTCCCCGGCGGCGCGCCGCCCTGAAGCTGGGGCTCAATTCCAAACCTCTCACTTCGAGCGTGCCAGACGTCGCGCACGGGGCCTGGGCGCGCCAACTGGGGCGAACCGCCCGCGACTGGTCGAGCTTCAGACGACGGATCCTCATCTCGATTTTGCTGTCCGCAAGCTTGCAGCAATTCATCGCTTGCGAATTCGTGAGAGAACGAACGGAACCATCGTCGCGCTCGCCCGTGGCCTTGCCGCGCTTCGCAGCGCGACGCAAAGACGCGAGGCACCTGCCCACGCGAACGTAATCACTCTGTCGAAGCACGAACGGCTCAAGGCCGTCGATGAGAGCATTGCGCACTTGCCCCTGCAGCAGCGCACGACGCCATTGATGCGATAACGAAATACCCCCCAAGACGATAAAACAAAGCCTTATGCGCCATTTCACAATGCCTAGTAACTTCGTGATGAGCAGTGTCCTGAGACTTCAAAAGCGTTCCCAAGTGCCGAGCGCAGTCCGGAACTGTTCCCTGGATGCTAGTGCGAATTGCCCGAAGTTCGTCATCTCCTGTTTTCCTCGATTCTGCCCATGCCGGAACGGTTCCAGAACCTCATCCAGTAGCCCATCCGCCCTCCGCTATTTGTCTGGGAAGCCCCGTCAAGTACTGCCAGCACCAGCCAACATCATTTTCTGTAGATCATTTGCATACTTCGTCAGCTTTAAATCCGCAGCCAGGCCAGACCACGCCGCAATGATATCTCGAGAAGACGGATCTGCCTGTCGAAGTGAGTAACTCCACTGTAACACTGCTCGCGAGAGGGTGCCCAGGAATCCCCGCGCCGTAAGCGGGTCTCCCAGTGGGCCTCCAATGCGGGTTCGAACAAAGAGAGGGCCCACCTGCGCATCGTGCTCAAGGATGGCCATGCGGTATCTCTAACGGCGCAATCCTTGATCGCGCTCTGCAGCCGCTATAGGGACTGGTCCAGTTCAGACCAAGTGGAACGTGCCAACGCATTGCTCCTATCTTTGAACGTGTCGCAGCAAGTTAGCCCCATCCATATTGGCCTCCATCCCGTGGTAAGTGTAATCAATGCAACATCATCGTGTCTGCGATGTTCTACACGCCAGGGGTCGGCCAACGTCGGAGCGATCCTGAATTCTTTTTCGCAATAACAAGCTTCGCCCACGAGCGGCGGGGCGTGGGCCACTCGGGCTCCCTCGGGGCCTTCTTCAACTTTTTTCCTGTATATTCGCGCCCCGAGATCTTGTCCTATATAACGGAACCTCCTGCTGCCCCCTCGTCTTCGCAAGCCCCGGGCCACGTGGGAACCGGGGGCCCCGCGGCGAACGCAATTAAGTAGTAGCTCCTACTCTTGCCGAGACTGCGTGCGATAGTTTGGCCGCGCGCATTGATGCCAGACCCCCGCGGGCGCAGTTCCAACTGGCGCGGCCTTCCGTTCCGAAGCCCGCCTCGCATACTTACGCATCGCCTGAATGCCCTCCGCCATCTCCTCCAAAACCTCCTCATTTGTCACGTCCGCGTAAGACGTCCCCGCGTCCGCCCTGGAATTCCTCCGCTCCTCCCATGAGTTCTCCTGCGCCTCCATGCCCCCCTCGGGCCCGCTCAGGCACCGCGCGTCCAGCCGAGCTCCGCGACAGGGAAGCGCGCAACGAACAAGCCGACCGTCTCGACGTTTCGGCCCGCGCCGCGTGCGGGAGGCGCGACGGGCCAGTCTCGCCCCCTCAGCTGCGCGCCCCCCTTGTCAAATGTCAACTGCCTCAGATGCGAGTTGTGTCCGGCGCCGTCGGGCAGCGCGACGCTTTTCAAGAATCAACTGGCGTCAACTCTTCGAACTCTCGATCGATCCGAAGGGGTTCCTCCCTCGCGGCTTGAAACTTGCCACTGCGAATGGCGACCCGTGGTTTGAGCAGACTTCTCCTTCGAAGACAGTCGGCGTCATAGTTTGGACAGAGCTCTTGCGAACGCGCGAGACATGATAGGCCAGCCTCCACCAAACAGTCCCCCATCACCGCAAAGGTCTCAGCTGGGCCCGCGCTGCCGCGATACCAGTGCAAATGTAACGCACCAAACTTAATTTTCAATGTCTCCAATAACTGCGCTCGTCCCGTGCAGTTCCTCCCAGAATGCGTCAACTTATCAGAATCCAATGTCCCTGCGCGCTGGCTTGCTGCTGCTACAGCACCATGCTTGTCGCACCGCGCAGCTGCTACGATAGGCACATGACCCCGTGGAGGACTCCCCATGGCTGCTTGCAAGTCAGCGCCTAGCCGGAGATGAGCACGACACGATACCACTGCAGTGTGCATCGCTTGCGACAGAATCTATCTGTGAACCACCTGAATTACCAAAGAATGTCGATTTTATCTCGGAGCCAACCGTATTCGCCGCCACGAACTCATGAGTCTCCATCAACTTGCGCATACGATGGCCCGCACCATTCAAATCCATCTCACAATTGGGAATACCGACCACTGGGCTATTCACCGAGCCCCACACTCCATCCGCGCGTACCTCACACATCCCGTCGTTCAAACCAAAGTAAATAATCGGAGTACACAGTGTGGGTCATGACTTTTGAATATGACCAGTGTCAAAGAAATCAAGAACGTCATCGTCTCGAAGTATCCTCCATGTTCAGCACGGGGTTTCGGGCGCGGTAGAAAGTAACATGATATGCCGCTCATTTCCACGGATCCATAATTCGCACGAGTTGCGACTGCTCCGCCCCTGGCTTGTGAAAATGGGGCCCACGCCCGTATCAGGTTTCGATGTTCAACCTGTGGACTGAAGGACAACAAGGAGCCGCAACTATGATTGCTAAATCGTGAAAAGGGGAAGAAACGGAACCGATATGCAAAGCCTGCATGCGCACCTGATGCTCTGCACGTGCGGGGCGAGGGCGTTGTGCTCCACCTGTTGCGTTCCTGCTGAGAGAACAAACGAGATCGAATACCTGCGTCTCTCCAATGAGTTCTGGAAGACGCTCTCCCGACGCATGTATGGGGTTAAAGCCCAATGCTCGCAGGAAAAACACACCTTCAGCTTTCCCACTGAACTGCAGTCATCCTCCCTCCATGCGGCGGCCGCCGATCTGCTTCGGTGCGGGCGCGGGGAGACCGCCCCCCTGCAATCTCTCGATGAAAAAGGACCTTAGAGGATGAGGAGGAGGAGGAGGAGGAGGAGGAGGAGGAGGAGGAGGAGGAGGAGGAGGAGGAGGAGGAGGAGGAGGAGGAGGAGGAGGAGGAGGAGGAGGACAAACACAATCAATTGCCCCCATATTGGTGGGACCCCAGTCTTTCAGTAAGGCCGCCGACCAAATAGTTAGTTACACCGTATTTGAAGGGGGGGGTTCGAAGGACCTTTCAGGGCTACCCGTCGGTCGGGCGAATTGTGTAGAAACGTAAAGTCGGAAGGCGCTGGAAATAGATTCGGGCTTCCGTCGCCCCTCGAAGAGGAGGGAGGAGGGAAACCCACCCGACTCTTGGAGCAGGAAGGCAGATCTGGGAATCCAGAAATACCTTTACTTTCAACGACCGGCTGTGCAATAGGCGATATTCGAGAACTGCCTCTACTGTCAACGACCGGCGTGTACAACAAGCGATACATGGAGATACTCAAGGCATGCAGTACAATAGACAAGGCACTCGGACAGTCACAACAATGCGAGAATGTGATGCTGCAGCGTGCGTCTCCGATCCGACTCTGACCGAGCTGCGTCTACGCAAAGTCGCGTGAACACGTGAGCGTGTTCTTATTCGGCATTTCAAAAATGGGCGGAAGGGGGGGGGTCTGGCTCTGGACTTCTGCTCAGTGCGACTGTTTGCAACCCAGCGTCCTAGGGGGGAGACCCCACCTGCTCGAGGCAGGCGCCCAGCAAGATCTACTCCATGGGGGGGGAGGGGGGGGTGCGAGGGCCCGCGCCGATCGGCAGAACATGAAGGGGCCCCAGGACACACAAATAAATACACACAAATAAAAACATTCCCAATATTTTCCTATATTTTCTGAGATTCTGTCTTCCCCCACACTTCCCGTATTTGTACACATTTTCGCCCCAAGGGGCCCCCAAGAGCCCCCCAAGAGGCCCCAGGGGAGCCCAATACGCCGCCAAGGAGCCCCAAGACGCTCCCAAGAAGCCCCCAAGAAGCCCCCAAGACGGCCCCAAGAGGCCCCAAATAGCGCTCCAGGGCCCGCAGAATGAGCGAAGCGATTAAATAAAGGAACGATCACCACTGCCGAGAATGCCCACGGCTGGCTTCCACCCGGTCGGGGCGACCAGGGCACCCGACTTCGCACAGCGCGCTCCACGGTGCCCGACGCGCGATCGTCTCCGCGCCCTCCTGCCCTTCGCGCCGCCCATGGAGGGAGGGCAACCGCTCGGACGTCCATTTCCTGTGTTTTTTGTCGGTTTCGTGCGTGGTTTTTTCGCTAAGTGATCAAGGCTGCTCCTCGATGGTCCTCGCCGAAGGAAAAATGCACACGTCCGAGCGATGCCACGTGGATGGAGGGCAACCGCTCTCGTCCAGGGCGCGACGCGCGATCACGGCACCTTCGTGCAGCGTCGGCGCGCGCAGAGGTTTTCGCCACCGCGTCGATCGTTCAACCTTGGAACCGATCGCAACCTCGACGGAGCAAACTCGAACCCCGTCGGGTCCTGTGGCGTTGCCGTGTCCCTCGGTGCTTCCGCGTCGTTTACCATGCGCAATTCAACCTCGAACGCCTTCGCTGGCGTCGCCGGCGCGCCAGCGCCGCAAAAACCTACTGTATCTTCGCGCCCCTCCGCGGGTGACCTTCAGACAAGACCACGGTAACGGGCCTTCGGGGGGGCCCCGCGTCGAGCCGGGGGCTGGACGCTTCAATCCCATTCGTTAGACTCAGGTTCCAGGAGAGCATGACGTTCGGGGAGGCGTCAAACTCGGGTAGGGGGACTCGGGTTGGCCTGACGGGCCCCTTGTCGAAAAAATTGGCGAGATCCATTCTGAAATTCGACGCGAACTCCCGCTGCAAACATCCCACGAACACTGGACCGTCAAAATTCAGGACGGGTGTCCGAAAAGCGACGGGCCCGTCAAAATCCAGGGCGGGCGAGTCTATGTTTCCCCGACACGCGTACCAGGACAGCACGTCTACGTGGCTGGACACTTCAGTCCCCTCCGTGTCCACAACATTTCAGCTAGCTCATTGGCTCCACGAATGCGTCGCCGAGCATGTCATCGGGCTGTGTCCACTCCTTTCTCCTCCTCCACCAACAGTGATTGTCCCTCGAGCCGCTCTCTGGATTTCTACTGGAGCCCTCTGGCAAGGAGGTCGGAGCGCTCACCGCCGGATGTCTGCGTGGCCAGAGGCTCTGGCCGCTCACCTGGATGAGCTCCGTGCTTCCGACCGCAGCTATGACTGCAACCGCTTGGTTGGCAACGTACTCCAGATTTCGTAATAAAGGGAGGGGGGTCTCATTTCGGGGGGGTCTCTTCCAGGCTATCTTGGAGGGCCTGGGGGGGTCTGGGGACGATGTTTTGGAGGGTTCTCCCACGGGGGGGGTCTGAAATAGCTTGTCTTGAAGGGTCCAGACCCCCTCCCTTTTATTACGAAATCTGGAGTATGCCAACCCCTGAATAACCTCGGTTGCCTCCGAGTGACCTTCGCTTATGCACTCGTCGCCTCTCTCACACGCTAGCCCAACAGCCTCGCCTGCGCAGCTCATTCGACGAAACCGCCCACGCGCCAGGAACGCTGGGCTTCCGATCACTTCCCAGTAGCCACGGCCGCGATGACCACAGGTAAAACCAGAACTCATCCAAGTGTGTCTTCGACAAGGATCCCTGGCGAGGTCGTGCACAGAGCAACCACACATGGCACATACATGCATCTTTGGCTTCGGTCGGGCATGTCCTACGCGCGGAGTTGGGAGGAATAGTGGAAAATAGCAGAACAAAAACAAATCGTCTCCCGACTATTTTTTGACTATTTGTGACTATTCCCCCTGTAGAGGGACACGCCCGACTTAACCTTTGGAGGTCCGCGCAGACTTCTTGGATCGGCGAGGGTGCCCCCTCCCTGGCGCGCGGAGCGCGCCAGGGGCGGCGCCGGAGGCGCCGCCACGGGGCACCCGAAGAGGATCCAAGAAATCCCACCAGCCCTCTAGGCTGAGTCGTCTATAGCAGAGTTCCCTGCCACAACCCCTCCTTCCCCTGCGGGGGAGGGGTTTACCCTCCCCCGTATCCCCTCCTCTGGGCCTGGGGGGGGGACGGAGCCGTCAGAGCGTCCAAGATGGCCCCTGGCTCCAACAGTCCTAAGGAAGTCCCAGAGGGCCTCCAAGATGGGTCAATATACCTCAACATCGTTCAAGATAGCCAGATAGCCCCCGACAACCTCCAAGACGCCCCAAGACAGCCCCAAGAGGGTTCCAAGTTCCATTCCCCTCTCCTGGCACCTCCCAAGAGGCCAAACTCCTTCTTACGGGAAATAAGCATTTTTGGGCTTCTCGCTTATCGCTGCCGATGGGCTTCTTGGGCTTCAGTATGGCCCCAAGAGGGCCCTGGAGAGTCCCAAGACGAGCCCAAGACTGCTCCAATAGCGCCCCAGACA